CTATCTATCTATCTATCTATCTATCTATCTATCTATCTATCTATCTACAACCACCAAGTCCCAGACTCCAGGTTTGTTGCAGAGACTAAGGTCATCTAAACACAGAAGAAGTTGGTAATTGGGACATTCCTGGTGGTAATAGCCTTATAGAACTGCTCATTAGGGCTCACGGTGGTCACTTATCCATCTTCTCAATTTTACCAGGTATGAAACAGAGATGAACACCCGTACAAATGCTGAGAATGACTTTGTGGTGCTTAAGAAGGTGAGCATAGCTGAATCTTCCACTAGGAGTCAAGAAAGCAGGCACCAATTCCTGGGTCTTGGGAAACTATAGTTCCTTATTCATGGGGCCTCAGTTTTTCCATTTGTGAATAATTCTAGTCCCCAGTCCATTTTTCAGGGCTGTGTGATGAGGAGCTCAGTGAAATCTATAGTAATCATACTAATGATACAGCAAATGTAATTAGTTCTTGGTTTTCTGCATTGAAACTTGCAGTAAATCCTGAAAATCAAACTTCTTGTTGGCCTTGTTTGTTGTGAGAAAAGTATTGCATAATGTTGGCTATGATTACTCTTTACCTTCTTTGCCCATATTCTTGCCAGCTGGTGATGACAGTACAACCTGCCGGTGTTGGGAGGGAATGTGGGTTAGTGCTTTTTTTTAGTGAGAAGGCAGCTAGATGGTACAGTGGATAGAGCACTGGGCCTGGAGTCAGGAAGACTGATATTCCCGAGTTCAAATCTGGTCTGAGACACTTACTTGCAATGTGACCCTCGGCAAGTCACTTAAACCTGTTTGCCTCAGTTTCCTCATCTGTAAAATGAGCTAGAGAAGGAGATGTTAAACCACCCAGTATCTTTGCCAAGAAAACCCCAGATGGGGTCATGAGGAGTTGGAAATGACTAAACTGAACAATAGTTTAGTGCTTTGGTTTATTATTAATTACATCTTCCTATCTGGAACAGGACTAAGTATGTTTGAGGCTGATGATAAGCTAAGACAGAAAACTTCTCATAGAATCAGTGTCAGAGTTGGAAGGGATTTCAGAGGTCATCTAATCTCTCTCTCTCTCTCTCATTTTATACATGAGGAACCCTAAGAAGACTTGTCCAAAGTCATATAACCTATAGATTGGAGAATTGGAATTTGAACTCAAGCATTCTGGATCCTAAGCCAATTCGTCCCATTAAGCCTTTTTCTTTTGGGTTTTTCCCAGACCAATAGGCGTATCTATACTCAAAACATATTCAAGAGACATTCAGGCATCAAGAGTCCTCCCTAACTTCACCTTAATATGCTTTCCCCCTTGCTTTATTTTAGGATGTGGATGCTGCTTATACAGTTAAAGTTGACCTTACCACTAAAGTGGACAGTCTGCAGCAAGAAATCGAATTCCTCACGGTTCTGTATGAGACTGTAAGTCTAGGGGCTAACTTCTTCGCTCTAACCATTGTAGGGCCCTTGGAAAACAGAGAGACAAGGGAGAAAAGCTCTCAGGAGGGAAGTACTTTGGGTTGGTCTCTAAATTTGTGAGTGGAGTTGAGGGGAGAGATAGTTCTGTGAATCTCAGGAGAAAGAAGAGCCAAAGAAAAAGAAAACCACCAAAGATGAATCCAAATTATGTCCTACAGGAATTGGCCCAAGTGCATAAAACTGTCAGTGACACCAATGTGGTCCTTTCCATGGATAACAATCGTACCCTGAACCTGGATAGCATCCTGGAGGAGATCCAAGCTCAGTATGAAGATATTGCCCAGAAGAGTAAGACAGAAGCTGATACTTTGTACCAGACCAAGGTGAGTGAAGGAAACAGATATCTAGGGTACAATCTGATCTGTAGAGGAGCCAGCATTTTTTTTTTATCCCCTTCTGGGAAGGAGTGAGTGGTAGAAGAATCTCTTATCATAACTCCTGGAAACATTGTCTAGTAGATCTCAGCATCCTTAGGTTTTGCCTGGTTGGTTTTAGGGCAGCTGTTTCATTTAAAAGGCTAGATCACCAAGAGAACTCTCAAGGGCACATGGATGGTTCTATCAACCTTAAATCAGGTGCCACAAACTGACCCTCTATTCTATATTGGATAGATTATCTCTCTGTGCTCAGTGATTCTGACCTGACCAAGTTCAAATTGTGCTTCAGGGCAGATGTCTGGTAGGCTTCGGCACTCTGCTCCAGAAAACCTTGTTGTATAAGTGCACAAAGAAATGGAATGGCCATCTGAGGAGAGCTGCCATCATCTGGACAGTGTTCCTCTACTTGCTTTTGACTCTGGTCTTTTCCCTTAACTTTAGTACCAAGAGCTTCAGATCACTGCAGGGAAACATGGTGAAGATGTTAAGGTACTCAAGACTGAGATTAGTGAGCTGAACCGAACGATTCAGAGACTACGTGCAGAAATTGACCGTGTCAAGAAACAGGTAGGGGCTGTGGTTTGACTCTCTGTGGTCAAAATCTCCTGCGCTTATGGTTTCCAGGTCAATAAACGAACATTATCTGTCTCCATGTGCAGAACTCTGTACTGGGTGCTGGGCATGAAGGGAGAGAAAAGGGCTGGGGGCAGGGGAGGGGACAGGGTTCTGGAAGACCTCCAGAGGAAGGAGGTGCCTTAATTAGTCTCTGCCCTTGGGAAATTTGTGACATGGGCCCAGTAGAGAAGATGTGAATGAGTCATGAGAATTAATCACAATGTGAAGGTAGTGTGGTGTGAAAAATAACCGGAGCAGGAGTGAGAGACTAATAGAATGATCAAGTTGGAAAAAATGAGGAAAGGAAGGAAAGAAAAAAAGAAAGGAATAAGGAAGGAGGGAAGAAAGAGAAAAGAAAGAATCAAGTATTTATTAAGCACGTATTTGTGCCAGACGCTATTCTGAGGACTTTATAAATATTTTCTCATTTGATCCTCCCAACAACCCTGGGAAATGGGTGCTACTATTATTATCCCCATTTTACAGTCAAGGAAACTGAGGCAGGAAGCAGTTAAGTGACCTTTAAAGTTCAACTGGCCCAAGTTCTTAATTTTCTAGATAAGAGAACTGAGGTCCAGAAAAGTTCAATGACCCGTCCATGGTTATATATCTAGTTAGTGTGGTCTCTCTGGGTCCAGTGGGTTCAGATTCCCGCTTTGATATTGACAAACCTCTCTTTGCTTCAGCTTCCTCATCTGCAGAATGAGGAGAATACCTTCTATGACCTACCTCACAGAGTTGTGAGGAAAGTGCCATGTAAGACTTAGGGCTCTGTTTAAATGTCAATGGGTATTACTGCTAAAGAGCATTGATGTTAATATTAGTGTTGACATGCCTGAGCTCCTGCTTAATTCATATTTATTGTCTACATTCCATTGACTAGATAGATGGTGATCCCTACTAGAAGAAGATCATATAAGGGGCAGATGGTCTGGAGTGGTAGATAAAGCTCTAGATGTGGGGAGAATAATAGTAACTGCAATAATAACAGTTAATATTTATATATTACTTTAAGGTTTGTTTGATCTTCACTATAACTCTGAGAGGTAGGTGCTATTGCCCTCATTTTACAGATGAGGGAACTGAGGCTTAAGGAGATTAAATAACTTGCTCAAAGTGCCACAAAGAGCATCAGAGGTAGGGCATGATTTCAGGTCTTCCTGACTACAAATCCAGTTCTCTCTCCACTGTTGCCTTTTGCTGTTGTTCAGTCATTTCAGTCATGTCCAACTCTTCATGACCCCTTTGGGGTTTTCTTTGCACAGATAGTGGAATGGTTTGCCATTTCCTTCTTCAGCTGAAGATACTGAGGCAAACAGGATTAAGTGACTTTCCTAGGGTCCCATGGATAGTATGTGTCTGAGACTGGATTTGAACTCATGAAGTTGAGTCTTCCTGATCCCAATCCAAGTGCCACCTAGCACCATGTCCCCTAGCTACCTCAAAAGAGCTATGTTCAAATCTCAGTTCTGCTCCTGACTACTTTTTTGACATTGGGTCAGTCACTTAATGTGTTGTCATCTGTCAAAGGAGAGCGCTGGACTAGATAGACAAGACTCTTACCAGTTCTCAATCTTTGGATCCTTTATAAGTGAGTCTCTAACATGGCATAGGGTCCATTGATTCACCTCATCCTACCCTCTACAGAATGCTGCAATAGAACAGGCCATCCTGGAGGCTGAGCAGAAAGGGGAGAAAACTGTCAAAGATGCCCAGGACAAGCTGGCCCAGTTGGAGGATGCCCTGCAACAGAGCAAGGAAGATCTCACTCAGCTGCTCCGGGACTACCAGGATCTGCTGAATGTCAAGTTGGCCCTAGATGTGGAGATTGCTACCTACAGGAAGCTGCTGGAGGGAGAAGAGAGCAGGTGAACTCAGCAAGATATGCATTGTCCTAATTGCTCCTATTGGGTAGAAGGAGTCATGGAACCTTAGAATCTCAGAGCATAAAAGTACCTCAGAGGTCATCCAGCTCAATCCCAACCTGGTCAGGTATCCTGCTACAACCTTCTTGACAAAGGGTTAACCAGGCTCTGCTTGAAAATGTTCAAAGATAAGGAATTCACTACCTATGTATCTCTTTACAATTTTGGACAACTCACATTATTAGGAAGTTTTTATTTCTTTTCTTCTCTTGTATGGAGCCAATGTTAGCCTCTCCTGAGTATATCTGGTTACTCTGTGGTCTTAGACATACCCAATACTCTGTGACTCATTGATAATGGATTCCAAAA